CGAGGAGGGTGCGAAGGGCCCAGCTGACACCACCTGCCAGCCGGTTTGTTAGGAAAAAAACTTCACCAAAAGTGCCGCTCGCCCGTGGCGCAGGACGGCCGAAACCACGCGCACAGCGCCGAGAGGGGCCGCAGCTGGAACACAGGAATGTGTTTGTTGGGGCATCTCTCGAGCACAGCTTGGGAAAGGGACGCTGCTGAGTTTATAATCTCCCCCGACTGCGGGCTCACGTTTGGACTGTAATTTAAGTGCTGTCCAAAGGATTATGAAGGAATTGCAGTCCACCTTCGGGGCGAAACGGAGCAGCAGTTTAAGCAGCCTGTTGCAGCTGCCGTTGCACAGAGGGAAACATCCTGTGCGGCAGCAGCAGCTGCAAGGAGGCTTCAGGGAGGGAAAGTGGGGCTGTTCCGCACATTTGTTGATCTGTATGTGAGACAACAAAGAGGTTTAATAGCTGATTATAAGGCTCAAAAGCATCACCCCAAAATAACAAAAAGATCATTTAATTGAAGCAGTTGATGGAAAGTAACAGGAGAGATATAGGAAGTGCCTACGTCTGGGGGACAGACAAATCAAATATCTTGATTAGAGTTTATTGTTAACTGTACAACTATTAATAGTGCTAGGAATGGGTAAAAATAGCCTGTTCAAAGCCTCCTCTTAGGCTGGCCAGCTTCAGCAAATCGAAAATCCATTTGCTTCCTCTGAAAGGCTCTTTGGCAAGAGGAAAGGCAGCGCATGCTGCCTTGCAGGCAGTCATCTGCCACCGAAATCCTGTGGGCCTGGCTCAGAGGTGCAGGTCACCACTGGAGCCACCCTGCCAGGAGCAAGCCAGCAGCGAGGGCAGGGGACCCCGTTTTTTGGCGGCAGCGGGTCCTGGGAGCTGTGGAGAGCTAATTGCTGCTGGCGCTGCTGGAGATGCTGGGGCAGGCAGGGTCCCGCGGGGGGGGTCACCCAGCAGCAAAGGACGTGGGTACCACACTGTGCACACTCTGCCTTATCCCAGAGCACAGCTTCTTGCAGAGTCGCACAGAATCTAAGGAAAGGAGCATTACGAGGAGTTAGTCTGATTACCCAAAGATCATCTAGAAATTTGTCTCCTGGTGGAACCGGAGCACATTGGCTGGGAGCTGACTGTTTTTGATTGATGATAAAGAGTCCACCTCGCTGCTAGGCAGATCCTTCCCACGGTTATGATTCTCACTGCTAAAAATCACCTCCTATTTCTGACCTGACTCCAAATACCCTGAATCTTAAGCATGGGCAAGTAAAATGGCATTCTCCCCCTGCTGTATCGCCTACCAGAATTTGACCCTGCCATTTGTGGAGGTGGCTTGCTCATTGCTCTGATGTGGAGGAGTTCAGGCTCTTTGCTTATTCCCACCATCCCACCAGCAGCCTGGTACAGCGAGAGCTCCAGGCAGGCTGCTGGGCATGAAACCCTGAGCAACTGCAGACACCACTCATGGAATCAAACATCTTCAGCATAGATCAATCCCCAGTTTCTTGCTATTTTGCTCCTCTTTAGCAACCCCCCCCCCCAAAGGTGTTCCAGCCACAAGACAATGCACAATAGCTGCCTTCCAGCCGCAGGCAAGTCAGCTGAGGTAAGAAAATTCCACGAAAGTCACACAAACATCCCAGCTACAGAACATGCAGCTCCCGAGGGTCCGGCTTGGACGAACTGTGCAAGTAGAAAAAATACAGCTCACATTAATACCAGCTTCTGTAAAAATGTAGGAAGCAAAATGTACCAGAAAGCATGAGCGTGCATTGCACAGTCAAGCCCAGAAGTAGGCAACCTGGAGGGATACTCAGAAAAGAACAATTACATCAGAACATGACTTTGATTTCTGAGCGTGCTGCTGGAGCTGAGAAGTATCTTTACCTTAGGGTCATGCTGGCTTTGCTTTATGGCTGGTTCCTTCTGAAGCAACTCAGAAGCCGAGTGGAACAGTCGTGTGTGCCTTTCCCGACCCTGCACACTCAGTACCCCAGAGACCTCATGCAGGCCAAGGAGAGGAGCAAATCAAGCACAAGCTGCTTATCTTTGCTGCCAAGACTCTTTAAGTTCCCCCCAAAGGCTTGGCCTCTGCACAGCACCTAGCACTGCCTGTTTTTCTGCAGACCGGGGCTTGTGAGCACACAAACCCCTGTCCCCGAGCCCAGCCAGGGTCGTGTGTCAGAGAGCTGCCAGAGACAGTGATGGTCTCCCTGCTCCGTGTGCAGCGCTCGGCACCGTGGGATCCTTCTCCTTAGCCTGGTCACAAACACCAACCAGAGGCTGATGGTTTCCCAATGGCTGTTTGCAAACAGCTGGACTGCGCAGGGCTCTGGAGACCGACCTGTGGCTGGACGTGGGACTCCTCAGATCTCAGTTCCCACCCTGCCCCCTTCCCCAAAAAGAGACAGGGTGGGGGAACAGGGTGGAGGAACCTCCTCCAGCCTGCACCCCCTCCACGACACCGCCCTCTTTGCAAGGCAGGAGGCCCCAAATCCTGTCCTAGCTGACCCACAGCCCTGGTTGCTCCCTAGGACAGGCCTGGGAGCTGCACGCTGGAGTCAGCTCTGCGGGGCCAGTTCATGGCTGGGAGGCAAGAGGTGCACAAGGAAGAGGGGAGCAGCTGGGAACGGAGGGTTTAGCTACAGCTCTTGCTCTGTCCCTCGGGGAAAAACATCTGATTAAATCAAGATGCAGCATCCAGGGTTCCTATTCATTCCCTATATTATTAGCTTGTCTCATTTTATTAAACCTCCTTTAAGGCTTTTCAAAAGAAGCACATAGTTTGCAGCATATAATTTTTCCCAGATGAGTTACAATGCAGAAGCAAGCTGCTCTGTCACTGGGGACCGGGGGTTGTATTTATTCGCTTCCTTCTCCCATCCCCTATTTCTTTTGCAACAGTTTTCCTTGTATCTTGATTCCTTTTAGCATTAGGAGAATACGAAAGCCTGAGACATATCTCAAATCCCCAAATCCTTGAGTCATGCAGGCAAGGGGCAGTGATAGCTTGCTCAGATGCATCATCTATATGCCTGGTGCAATGCAATCCCCAGCGAAGCCTGCAGGAAGCCTGGTGCCAGTCGGAGCAGGCTTGTGCCGTGCCGTGGGCTCCTCACTCTCTGCCTCTGCTCCCTCCTCCTGCCTTTTTTTGTTCCCTGGGAACTTTTTCCATTTTCGCCTGTGCAGCGAGCGCTGTGTTTGTGCAGGGCTGGGTTTCCAGCCAGGCGCTGCTGGTTTTACGAAAGGCCTTTCGGCCACGGTGCGGCAGCGGGTCTCGGCTGGAGCGCGGGCCGCCGGTGGACAAGAGGCGAGGGGGAGCAGGGGAGGCCGGTGCAAGGAGTGAGGAGGACACCTCCAGATGCTCTTTCCTCCCTGTGTCCTGTAAGGCTCTTGGCCTGCGAAGCTCCCTGCAGCGTTATCTGAAGTGACAGGGGTTTGGCTTTGGTGCTGCCTTTCAAAGACCATCACCCTGCTGTGATTCGGGGGACTGAAACTAGCTGTTAGGTTTGATCTGGAAGGAGCAGCAGGGTCGAAGCTTCGCATTCGGCCCTGCTGCCCACTGCTGACAAAACAGCATTTGCAGCTCACACGTGTTTTGCAAAACTCTGGCAAAAAGCGAGAAGGCCCTGGCTCGTACGCTCGGAGGAATGAATCAGATAATAGACTCATCAAAAGCCTATAAAAGAAGGCTTGACTTCTGTATCAGTGCAAAGCCAGGGGAAGCCACACGTGCTCTGATCGATGGCTCAGGGCCTTTAATTTCCTTCACTGGCTGAGCAAACACACGTGCAATAGCTGAGCACACTGTGGCAGTCCAGGCTTTGACGGCACCGCACGACACGTAGATCAGCCCACAAACGAGAGCAGCTCGGTGGCCTTGGGACGCTGCTGCTGCTTGGTGCTGACTCGCTTTTTGGAAACACATCCGGGCCGGGTGTGGGAGCTGCCACCACGGCCGCGGGGAGAAGATCCTGGTCCTCCCTCCTCAGAAATGCTGTTCGGAGGAGACACGATGCTGCCCCCATCCCTGAGACCTTGGTGGGGAAGGCAATGCTGGCAAAAGCCAGGATTTGGGGGAACCGAGGCATTTGGCCTCACCCGGCTCCGGTCATCGTGTCCCGAGCGTTT